AAAATACCGAATTATTCTTTAACGTATCTTTTTCTTTAATGCATTGTAATTTAAAGATACACTATTTAGAAGTCTAGATCTTTCAAAAAGGAAGATGAACAAATGCTTGGATAAATGGAATCTTGATAAACAAAACATTTTCTTACAGACTTTGTTCAGATATCAACATATTTTATTTTATAATAGATGCATAGTTTTTTTTAGTTATTTTAAGATATTATACAATAGTAGTGATTTATTAGATACTTATACATGATTTTATGAAAAAAAAATATAACATTTGGTGTAGAGGCAAATTTTAAGGTATTTTTAACAGAGAAGAGATATTTATTATTGTAATGCTAATTTGTATGCTAGAATATTTTTTGGCGTATATACAAAGCAAAGGAAAAAATGAACAAAATACCTATTACATCAGTATACATGCTTTTGAGCATTTATGGTGCTATTAATGGGGTTACAATTTTAATTTCTGGAGAACATGAAGAAAAGCTTGACTTTTTTTTTTCTAATAAATGATCACGTGTTACAAGTCTAATGTAGATATCCAGTGTCAAATGTATTATGTTTGAGAAGGAGTATTACTCGTGCAGAGCTATCTAACGAATTGTTAGGATGGTAGAAGGAAGTAATAAAACCTATGAAAAAATTCGCTCACAATACATTCCAAGAAAAGTGAGAATAAAGCAAAACAGAGTTGTGTAGCTAATGTGCATATGTTGCTGTGTGATACCAAAAAGAAGAAAAAAAATTGTATAGACTTCTATGATTTCAAAATTTCTACTCCAGCAGAAATGGAGAACCAGATGTAAATGTTCTGAAATTACCTAGTGTAATGTAAATTGAATTCATTATGGAATCTTTGTAAAAATGACAGTTTTCATTGGGGGAAGAATTTTTGAGTTCCTCTGACACTAAACACCTGTGAGATCTTGAAAGATGGTGAGAGATAGAAAAACATGGAAAACAAACTTTAAGGAAAGAGTTAACTGAGCAAAGAGTTGTACTATTAATGAGCGAGCTAAGCAGATCTAAGTCACAGAGGAAATGACAAAAAGAGATCATCATGTAAAAAAAAAAATAATGGTTGTATTATCTGTGTATTAGTGTACTAGAAGCCCAGTGCGTGAAATCGCACCACCCCACCCACTCACACGCGCCTCACCCCACTCGCACTCCCGCCCACCGGCACACGCCTCACTGCTCACCGCGCCCACCTCCCTACACCCACCCGCCTGCAGCCCACCACCCTGCCCACCTGCTGGCTGCCAGCCTTGCTGCAACCAGAGCCTGTGGGCCACACCACGTGAGCCACAAGGTCATGGGCCAGGGGGAGGTACTGAGAGGTGCTCCAGGCACCTCCCGGTGACCAGTCTTTGGTTGTTATGGCATTACAGCACTACAGCCACAGGCCTTTTATAATATAGATAGGAGAAGCCTGATGCATGAAATTCATGTCAGAGTAGGCCTTCTTTCCCCCAGCTGCCGACACCAGGCCTCCCTCTGGCACCTGGGACCGGGCTACCCTCGAAACCCCAGGGTCACCTGAAAGGTCACCAGTCTAATTAGCATGCTACACTTTTATTATTATAGATTTGGATAGTAAGAACATCACATGAAAAGGTGAAGGCCTGCAAAATAGAGATCATAATGAAAGATACAAGAAAGATTTCCCGTATTTGAAGCCTAACCTAACTTCAACATGAATATTAGAAAGTGTTTCAAAAAGTGAGGGTGGAGCTAAAGTTCTTATGTAGTGCGTTTTTAAACTTAAAATACAGTATTTACTATGTCTTTTCAGAAAGTATATTAATGAACTGTGTTTAGGAATTATAGGGTTAAGAGTTGAACAAAAAAGTTCCATATCAACCCTTTAGGCAAGCTCAAAATGTCTTTAGATAATACTACTATCCCGTGTTTCCCCGAAAAAAAGACATCCTCCGAAAATAAGACCTAGCGCATGGAAAGATAAGACATCCCCTGAAAATAAGACCTAGCGCAACTTTGGGAGAAAAAATTAATATAAGACACTGTCTTATTTTCGGGGAAACAGGGTACAAATGAAAACATTTGAATTAGAGTATATCAGTGTTAAGAGTGTTAGAGAAATAGGTAAATGGATTGAAAGGTTTGGTTCCTCAAAGGGAAAACCAAATCAAGTTCCCAATAAAAAAGAAATGCTAGGAAGGTAAAGATCACATATGTGTACAGCACATCCTTATCAAGTCATGAGATCTCTCATCAGAAATTTAAATGAAGATATAAAACTACTACTTTCAATGCTGTCAGTGTTGGTGACTGATGATTCTTCTCAATAAGTCAAACAAGCTGTAACTTGCCAAACTGGATCCCTTTCCCTCCACTGTTAAATCCTGTCAGTTTCTGAAATCTCTGGAATCTGTTCCTTTTTCTTTATATTGAACATTGATGCTCTAGTTCAAGCTATAGTCCTTTTCTCCTCTGGTCTACCAAAATTAAATCCTTACTTATATATCAGTATCTACTGTGGTTCCCCTTTAGTCCGTTCTGCACAGTGTAGTGCAGTGATTTGTTCCAAATGCAAATCTAATAATTTTGTGTTTCCTGTCTTCCATATATACCTCAAACTTTAAAAACCTCTTATTAGAAATTACAAACTAGATTTTCATCAAGCCCTTTGCCATCTCTCCAACTAATCTTACTCAAGCATTTCCTTTTATATAAATGAAATTATACATTCTCATAGTACCATCTACCTCTCCTTTTAACATTTATTATACTTAAAGTTTTACACTTGTGTATGAATATTTGATGAATGTCTGGGTTCTCCACTAGATTATAAAAGCAGATCCATGTCTGTTTTCCATGATCATTTAATTTCACTAACTAGAATGTGGCTTGGCTTTACAGTGGAAAATAAATATTGTTTTCATTAATTAACTGATTGGTTACTGTAAAGAGAACTGCATGGTAACTAGGACAATTTATTTGTTTAACCTCTATCTCCAAAAGCTTTCTAGTCAATTGGTTCTGGATTAGACGCTCCAGTATAATCTAACTTGGAGGCTTACAGAGAACATTGTGTAACTATCAAATGACAAGTATGGGGATATTTCAAGAATGTGTCAATACATGCTTATGTTTGTGTGGAATAGAGTGAAAGGGCTATTCAGATCATACAGTGGTCGAGAAATACTGATTGAAATCAGCAAGGAGTAGGACTTTAGATTGGTTGGATATCTTCCTCTCCCTCCCTCCCAATAGAAACATAATATGTTATTTTTCTAGTTGAAATCCCTATTTTCCTTTTGTGCTTTTCTGCTTCTTACATTCTGTGTGGCTTAGAAATGTATCCGCTGCTATGGCCACTTACTTTTAGAGAAGAAGCAGGAAGTTTTTGTACCAACTTATTCCTCAGAAAGCAAAGACCATTGTCTGAAGTTGGTACTGTACTGTGTGGTCCAAGGGCAGGCCTGTTTCTCCCCAGGGTTGGGCATCACACTGGGAAAACTAGTTTGCCATTGGATGGGAGGAAAGACTATTTCTACCTCTTCTTCTATGGCAGAACCGGGTCCCTTCTTTGTGTGTTTTTTTCTTTCCTTAGGTGCAGATGATCCATTTCTCCTGCAGTTCCATGGACACTACTGCATGAGTAAAAATGAAATGACTTTATGTGAATAAAAATGAAGAGAGACACTGATACAAGTTTAGTTTCTTTGTTGTTGTAAAGATGTTTGGTTTCACAGCCTATATGTAATATTTACTAAAATTGAAGTAATGATTTCTTCAACTAATAGCATTGCAGACATCAAAAGGTTGAAGCATGGTTAAGAAAATTGTACGTGTATACCACTCTACAGTACAAGGTATATACTTTAGGGTAGTGGTGGAATACTTTTGACATCTATCATGTGAGTTAATAGAACAGTTGATAGAGTTAGGAGAAAGAAAAGGAAAAATTCTGGGAGTAGGGCTAAGAGGGTGCAGCATTTTGTAAACATACTGAAAACATACCTGGAGAACTTGATCTTGTTCTCAATCCAAGTGCTGGTTTTCAGTTGTATTCGATACTAGTTTCACTCCCCCCACCGCCCCACTCACTTCCCTTTAAACATCATCCTAATGCTGAACACAGTACCTTGCATATTCCAGCCTCTTGATAAATGAATATTTGTTAGTTGAATGAAGGAATAAATGGGTGAAGAGTGAACAGATAAATGACAAAATTCTAGACTTCACAATTCAAATAAATATACATGTCAACTTCCCTGAACAAGATTTGAAAACAGAGGAATCTGTTAATAACTTAAATAATGTAGACAAAAGTATGATTTGATCTAAACATTTGACAATGGAGTTTTTAGAAGTTGGATTACTATAGCCAAAATGCAAGTGGTAAATAATAAAATAAAGTAAGATAGCATGAAATGAGCTTATACTATGAAATAGGTATTCTTTAATATTGGGATAATTGATGGCTAGGCTCACAAGGTAATTTTAAAAAGATTTTGCTCTTATTCTAGCTTGACTTATTTTAGAATTTTACCAAGTAGAAATTGTTTTGAACTTCTACTTAAAATGAATCGGTTTTCATTTCTGAATTATAGATCATAGATTTTAATTTAGTAAAATTTAATCAATAGATTTTACTATGTATCATTTATTGGGTTTAATGCTATATACCTAGAAAATATTTTTCCTGACATTTAGATCTATGTGATTAATATCATTTGTTGGTGTTACTTATTTGAATATTTGAACATGGTTCTGGTAAAGAGTGTGGACTATGGTGTCAGACAGACTTGGATTTAAATCTCCAATCTGCTACTTCTTAGAAAATTATTCAACTTGTCAAACCTTAGTGAGATCTTGTATAAAATGGAGATGATACCTGCTATAAAAGGTTTTTGGGAGGATGTAATTAACTAATATATGTGAAGAGCTTAGCACAGTGTTTGGAATATAGTAGACATTCAATAATTTGGAACAACTGTTTTCCCCCATCGTGTTTTGTTCTGCAGCTTTCCCCACAATTAAACCAGATAAAGATGCAAGACATGTAATAAAAGTGGTAAGTATTGCTCTTAAATTTGTATTTCACTTACAAAGTTTTCTTTTCTACCTTATTTTTGTAAAAATGTTTCTAAACATATTTTTTATAATTTTACTTATCATTAAGCCTAATGTTATGAAGTAGTTTCACATTGTAAAAAATCGAAGACTGGAGAACTTTGTTCTTTTGTGTTAACATTTATAACCCTTGTATCTTATCTAGCTATAGATCCTCTTTTCCCTCCCCCACTTCCCCTCGTCCTTCCTATCCTTCCTATATACTCTATTTGGTGTGGTTGTTACCGGCAGGGGTGAGGTTTTGGTTTTGTTTTTATCCCCTGTATCTAGTGCAGTGAATGAAATATAGTAGGTACTCAGTAAAGATGTTATGTAGAATGAACCACCAGGTAGTTTGCAGTGTATTGTATTCCCTGATGTGCCTGTTGGTACACATTGTGTGTCTGCATATGTATATAGCTCTGGGTGCTTTTAATAAGTTCTTTTAGTAAGATACTTTCATGTGTAAGCGTGTATAGAGATAGCATTATAACGTGTTAAAGTTAAAAATGAGATTCTTTTAAGTTTACTTAGTATTTTTTTTGGAGATTTTTAGTGGAAATCTGGTGCCTGTGTTTTATAACAAATGATTAGAGTACTATTATATAATATCGATACATATGTATATTCATGTTTTCCTAGTTGCAATACTAATTTTATCTTTAGGATTAAAAAAATAAAATTAATTGTTCTTTTCTTTTATAGGAATATCAGGAAAATGGCCCATTATTTTCAGAACTTAAATTTTACCAACGAGCTGCAAAAAAAGAATGTAGTAAGTAAAATTAGCAAAGCAATTTACTTCCATATATATATATACTTGCTAAAGTGAGTGTAAATATTTTTGTCTTTTTCTAGCCTTCTGGAAAATTCTTTTCTTTTCAATTGGAAATGTTATTGTAAAGTGATTCAGTTAACTGTTACAACATATAAAAAAGACAGATGGTGTACAAGTTTTGATATTGTTGATTCAAGCTACCAATAGTTCTCTACGTATCTATATACTAGGAGCCCACTTGGAGCCCATTTGCAGGAAGATTCTTGCAAGCAGCCACCCGCCCCAGCCCGCCCTGTGCCTTGCTTTCTGCTTTCCTCCCTCTTCCTTCTAAGCTGTCTTCAGTCCTCACTCCTCCCTCCCTCGGCGTATGCAAATTAACCATCATCTTTGTTGGGTTGATTTGCATACTCGCTCTGATTGGCTGTGGTCGTAGCAAAGGTAAGGCCAATTAGCATTTTTTACTTTTTGTCTTTTATTAGTGTAGATATAAAATGCCAGTGTCCGTGATGACTACGACAACCAAACAACCGGTCACCGTGTGGTGCATTCAGCACCTCTCAGTTCTTCCCCTCGGCCCCTGAGCAGCAGCTTGCACGGCGGGGCGGGGTGAGGCAGTTTTGTGGCTTGTGGCCCTCACATGTGGCAGGGTGGGGCAGCTCCAGGCTCATGGCTGGTGGCTTGTAGCTCTCGGTGGTAGGGTGGGGCTCACAGTGGCAGCTCACACATGATTCTGTGCATGGCTTCTAGTAAAAAATAATAGAATGAAATTTAAAAAACAAACAATCAAAACATATCTGTTTGGATAGGAATGTTTCAAGGAAAAAATAATTAAAATGGGCTGTAGATATTTAAACAAAAGGAATGATCTTAGAATGGATTAGGATAGGTGTATAGATATGATTAAACATTACGATTTAGAAAATTAGTTAAAAATGCTAGAATGTGAATGTTAATTGGAGCTGAATATCAGATATGAAAACTACCAGTTAGAGGATTTGAATGTGAAATGAGATGAGCAGAGCTAAAGAATAATAAAAACATTTTATAAACACTATGTTATACATGGACTAAGTGAAGCTTTAAGGAAGTTCATTTGAATAATGACTTTATAGTCAAGGTCCTTTACATTATGTTCAGGAAAAAGAATGATGAGTCTAGCCTCAATAATTAACTTTTTTTCTCTTAGTAAAATCTTCTAAGCATTAATACTGTAGTGTTTACTGACTGCTTAAAGTATGTCAGGGTGACAAATAGAATCCATTAAACTTGATTGTTTATCAGTAGAGCTGTCTTAATCATTAAACATACATGGTAGAAAAGTGAAAAATTAATAAGTTACCTGATTGTTTAAGTGGATTTGATTTTTTTCAAAGCTACATTTAATTAAAAAAAAATTCCTTATAATATACTTTCAGAGTAAGAGGATTTCTCTGCCAAATTTCTGTTTTGTTTGTGTGTTTTTACTACCATGGCTTTAGATTTTTTAAATAATAAGGAAGAAAATCCTTTGGTGGACATGTTATATTTAAAAATTTTACTAGCATAGAAGGAAATTATCTTTTTCATGACTACAAACATCTGTGTACATGATAACTATATTTTATGACTATGACTACTTTTGTTCTGGTTATAACATATTTAATTTAAAAATTCTCCAATAGAATTTTAAGCCATTACATAGATATCTTTAATTTATAAAACGTTTTTTTAGGAAGATCTTGTTTCTATTTAGGTTAGCTAAGTAAGTTTTAATATCAATGTAAAAGTAAGAAATACCTTTCTAAAAACTTGGTTTTTTTTTCTTTTAAATTTGTCTTTGCAGTAAAAAAATGGATAGAATGCAAACAACTTGATTATTTAGGAATTCCTGTGTTTTATGGATCTGGTCTTACTGAATTCAAGGGAAGAAGGTAAAATGGAATTATTATCCTGTATAGTAAAAGGCTAACATGCAAATCAACCGAGCAGTGGGACGACCAGTCGCAATGATGCACTGCTCAGGGGGAGTGCCTGCTCGGGTAGAAGCCAGGCTCACAGCCGGTGAATGCAGCGGCAGTGGCAGGAGTCTCTCCCGCCTCCGCAGCAGCGCTAAGGATATCCAACTGACGGCTTAGGCCTGCTCAGGGAGTGGGCCTAAGCCATCAGTCGGACATCCCCCAAGGGCTCCCAGAGTGGGAGAGGGTGCAGGCTGGACTGAAGAACGCTTCCCCTAATGCACCAGTTTCGTGCACCGGGCCTCTAGTAATCAGCTATTGTCCAATCACTGTTACTAATGTGGCCCGTTAATTATCTGTTGCTATAAAAAAAAATTACTCAAACTGCGCCGTTTTTAACAACAAACTGACATCTCTTTTTATAAAATATATTTTTTATTGATTTCAGAGAGAGAGATGGAAACATCAATGATGCGAGAGAATCATAGATCACCTGCCTCCTGCAGGCCCCTCCCACTTAGGGATCAAGCCCGCAACCTGGGCATGTACTCTGACCAGGAATTGAATTACGACTTCCTGGTTCATAGGTTGATGCTGAGCCACACTGGATGGGCAAACTAATATTATCTTAATTTCTGTGGATATATATATATATATATATATATATATATATATATATATATATATAAAAGGCTAAGCAACTGTCCAATCAGCAGTTATGATGCACAATGACCACCAGGGGGCAGATGCACCGACTGGTAGCTATGACATGTACTGACCACAGGGAACAGACACGCAGGGGGCAGGAGCTATCAAGTTCATTGTCTTGGCAGCAGCGGTTCTTGGGTATTGCTCCCTGGAACCAGAGAAGAGGGAGCTCGATTCTGGGGTGTGTCACCTGAGAATTGCCCTCTTGCAATCCAGGAACCTTTGGGGGATGGCAGAGAACCAGTTTCCGCCTGATCCCCACAGGTTAGGCCAAGGAATCCCACCTGCTGGAGGGACCCTGCTCACTCCACAGATGCCCTTTGAGCCATGGCACTACCCCAGGTGCGACTGGTTGGGGAGGTTGGCTCTAGGGTGTGTCTGGCCCATCTGGCCCAGTCCCGTCCTGCCAGCCACTTTTTAAACTAATTTCCTATCAATGTGCATGAATCTGGGCACCTGGGCACTAGTTATCTACAATTGCCTTATCTGAATGATTCTAGCTCAGGACTTTGTAGGAGGATGTATTCAGCTGTCTGTTGGGCTGCAGTCATCTCAAGGCTAGCCTGGGGAAGGTTCTGCTTTAAATTGAGGTCTGTGGCTGTTGGCAGGCCTAAGAAGATTTGTTGCTAAATTCACTCATGTCATTGTTGGCAGGCCTCAGATCCTCTCCATGCAGGTCTCCCCATTGGTGTTACAAAGACATGGCAGCTGGCTTCCCCTAGACCCGTGGTTGGCAAACTGCAGCTCGCAAGCCACATGTGTCCCTTTGGTCCCTGGAGTGTGGCTCTTCCACAAAGTACCATGGCCTGGGCGAGTCTATTTTGAAGAAGTGGCACTAGAAGAAGTTTAAGTTTAAAAAATTTGGCTCTCAAAAGAAATTTTAATCGTTGTACTGTCGATATTTGGCTCTGTTGACTAATGAGTTTGCCGACCACTGCCCCAGACCAAGTAACTCAAAGGAGGGAGGGAGGCGCACACACATATACAGGAGCATACATCCAGTCTTTTTAAATCAAATGTGAGAAGTGATGTCCTATCATTTCTACTGTATTCTCTTTGCTAGAAACAAGCACTAAAAGTTGCCCATACTCAAGAGAGAATTAATGAAGCTCTATCTCTCGAGAAGAGGCAAAACAATTTTTAGAAATATTTTTAAAACCACCAAATATAGATAATCACATATAAATCACTAACAGTAATATTAAAGGAAAAAAGAAATGCTGTCATTTGGTAGGTACCCATTTTGGCCTTTCAACAGCCTTTTAAAATAGGTGATACGTATTTCTTAGGTGAAAAAATAGGCTCAGAGGTTAATGCTTTGCTCAGAAGGTCTTTAAATACTTTAAGTGAAAACAAAATGAACAAACAATAATCTTGTTACAAAGTAAAGGGCTGCCAAAAAGAGACTGAGTGGCTAAGCATGGAACATCCCTATCATGCAATATTGTACAGCTCTTCAAGTCAGTCAGCCAGAGTTATACCCATTGACTTGGAAGGATTTCAGTGAGATCCTACTGAAAAATGCATGATGTAGAAAAGTGCATATAATAAGATCACATTTTTGTAAAATGAAGACAAGTTTCTATATGTCTGTGCTTGTGTGTGCACACATAGATAGATATAGAATAGGGTCCTATGTGGGTATATAAGTGAAGGGAAGAAAAGCAGGGGTAGAGATGCCAAACAGAGAAGGAAGGAAAAAGTGCATTTAAGAAAAGGCATGTTTCTAAATGGATAGAGACGGTACACATGCTTTTGTAATGTTATTTATAGAAAATGTTATTTATATTTGTTTTTGACCAAATATAAATAACATTTTCTGTATGGACAAGTCATTTGTTCAAGGCTATATGGTGAGAAGATAATGGAGTCAAAATGAACTAAATTCAGGACTATTTAATATAGATTTTTTCCCCCCCTGTGACCTAAGACAGCGGTCGCCAACCAGAGGTCCATGGACCCCTGGTGGTCCATGCGGTCGGAAAGCTTGGCCACCACTGATCGAAGACAGTGTGGTCTAAGCACAGCATTCTCTTCTAGGAAACTAACTGCAAAGTAAAGTGCTAAATAGCATCTCTCTGCAAAAGAACAACATTATTAATGTGCATTCATTCTCTAATGGTTCATATAGCATTGTTCTCTATTGTTAGATTGGGTATACTTTTTCTTTTTGTTCATAAATAGAAAGTTTCAGGAATTGCCATCTTAGGATCTCTTCTTGGCATCTTCCTCTTACAGTTACAGATTTATGGTGATGGAAAGACTAGGGATGGATTTACAGAAGATCTCTGACCAGAATGGTACTTTCAAAAAATCAACTGTCCTGCAGCTAGGTGTTCGGATGGTAAGAAGGAATGAGTTCTTTCACACGGCTCTATTTTCAGATTATTTGCTTGTTACAAAGTGTTGCCCTTTGTGGAATTATCAGGGGAGGAAGGATTATTGCTCTGGGAATGTCAGTTATTGAGAGTAAGGGGCTATTTCGGTGAAATTTATAATGGTGGGCTCTGTAAGTAACAGTGTGTGCTGTGTTTGGCACTACCGATTCGATTAGGCATTGGTTCTACCATCTGATTATTCCCACACAGCTTTGTTTTACATTCAAGAATAAGCTTGCATTCCCTTTATGAATAACATCTCTTTTGTCAGTTATATTTATCATAATGCAAACTATAGCAGATTATCTTATTTCCCATACTAAACGTGACGGTATACAGTTTTTATTATGAGTTTGGGATGGTGGCAGTAATTAGTATGGAAATGAATAATACATACTTTGCCAAATAAGGAGCAATGAAATCTTAATAGTACCCATGCACACATTTTGTTTATGCCATATTATTTGTCTTATCTTGTTTGTGTTTGGTTTGCCTAAGCTCCATTTTATTTATTTCCATTTTAAATAGACTGAAAATGCTCATGCCAGGTTGGGATGTGGCAAATAGAACTCATTAATTTTCCCATTTGTCCATTCACCCATCAACCCAGCCGGCAAATGTTTATTGAGTGTAGGTAACATGCAAGGCTCAAAGGATTCAATGATGAAACCAAGGTTTATTGCATTTCTGTACAGAGGGAGAATGCCTTTCTCTGTGCTGATGGACAAGGTGTTCTGTTCTGGGGTCCCCAAAACGTGATTTATAATTATTCCTCGAGAAAGAAATTTCTGAGTGGGCTTGCGGATTATTTCAGTTTAGATCTCTGATTTTATTGTGTTTTTGCTCTTGGCACAGTGTGATTTGGCCACCGGGTTGTTAGGAACACAGGCATTGTTGAATCCTGGTTTTCTTTAATTAGAGTTTCAATTAAAACACTTGATACTAGAAGGTCATTTTACTTAACTTTTCTCAGGATGAGTAACCCCAGTACATGTGATACTTTAGAAAAAATAAGAAAATAATTGCAAAGCATGTCACTGTCATTATTAGTATGAAAAAAATAAAAATCTAAACTCAAAATCTTCAAGTTGATCATGAGTTCTAAATAGACATTTTTATAACCTTATTTATTTCTTTTCACAGTTGGATGTACTGGAATATATACATGAAAATGAGTATGTTCATGGTGATATAAAAGCAGCAAATCTACTCTTGGGCTACAAAAATCCAGATCGGGTAAATGCAATATTAAACTTTGCTTTCATAAGGAGTCCTCATAGTGCCATACTGAGATATTCAAAAAAAACAAACTCCTAATCCAGATGGGTTTACAAATGAGGACTTAACATGATGAATGTTGTAATTTATCTTACCTTGCTTATCTAATTTTTAATGCACTAAACTAATAAGTGACTAGAATGAGGAAATTGAGACTCAGAGGGTTAAATAATTTGCTAATGGGCAACTAGTTCACAAGTGGCTGAACAGGAATTTGACCTGAGCAAATACAAAGATCCATCAGTATCCAGAGGGAGAAGAGGTGGGTTTTTATGCAGAGAAAAAATAAAAAACTGTCACATTAGCTTCTTTTGTGTGCAAACAATTAAGCTTTCAATAGAGCAGCATTTCCAATAGAACTTTCTGCAATGATGGACATATTCTGTATATTATTGTCCAGTGCAGTAGCCATTAGCCACATGTAAACACGTGGCCATTAAGCATTTGAATTGTGGGTACAACACCAAATACTGGCTAGAACATGGAGCAACAGGAACTCTTATTCATTGGTGATGGGAATGCAAAATGATATGACCACTTGGGGAAGATCATTTGGTAGTTTTACAAAACTGAACATGTTCACCCTTTGCACTCCGAACCATTCTGGACATTGGCTACCAGCTACTGGACGCTACTTTGCAGCGGAAACGTGCATTTACAGACCCTCGTATTATTTAGTATAATTTTGGAACCAAGTAACGTATTATAATGATATTGGACTTATATGAATTGGGTGACATCGAGGAATGTATATTTGCAAAAAAAACCCCAATATTTTATTGTTTATAATTGTGTACAGTATGATAAGTTTTGAAACACTCCCCAATATGCATTGCAGGCTGATTAGTGCATGTTTGACAGTAATAAGTGGTTTGACGCCTGCCACCAGGTGTTTTCCTGTTAGAACACACAATGCAGTCCCGTTTTCTTTGTCCCACATCGGGAATATGTAGTTTATTGTTTAATCTATTGTCCGCAGAAGATGTGGGTGGACGCGTTCTCGATACAGGAAAATCGCCCTTTCATTGGTCAACGAGTGTCTTGACAAACTTGTGGTGTGTCATTGGCGTTTCATTACTTGTTTGTTTTTCGATGAGTTTATCACACACATTTCTAACCCCCCAAAAAATAACTTCCTCCACCATTTGAGCGATTTACGGAGGAAACAATACGTCGAAGCGTATTGATCTGCATGATCCACACCACCCATAGTTGCCGTATATTCTAACAGCATTTCAGGCTTACGGACTGTCACGATATGTCCACCACGTAATGTTCTCTGGGTAGATTGTAGGTTTGTGTTATAATAATTGGTGAGCATGGTAATAATTCTTTTATCTTTCCACGCAAGAAGCATAGTATTATTCTTTCTGTATGCAACTGTTTTATTGGTTGAAAATTTTGTTTTTTTATTTGTGTCGGTACGCCTTTTCGATTTATCTTTATAGTGTCAGTAAGATGACAATTCATCTTTAGCAGTTCTTCCGCTAAAAGGATGCTGGTATAGTACCTGTCGGTGAACATCTGGTATCCTTTTGCATCAGGAACTCTTTCTAATAATTTCTTGAATAAATGTAGCGGAATCCTGGTACTTACTGGAAGGTCCGGCCGGGATATATTATCAGAGGTTATGCTGCCATAGTATGGAAGTATTGTAAATAAGTATCCCGTTCTTGAGTCCGCCAGCGCATATATGCGTATACCCCACTTTGTTGGCTTGTTGGGATTATACGTAATAAATGCTATTCTGCCTTTGAACTTTACAACAGATTCATCCACAGCGACTGCTTTATATGGTATGAAATACTGTCTAAATTTGCTATCTATATATTCTAAATAGTTGCTAACTTTCTGAATGCAAGTTCTTATCGTTGCATTTCCTTGCGTGGGTTTGTTCAAATGTAACATCCAAAATATCTGCATAAATCTGGACCTGGTAAATGTTTCCGGAAAAAAAGGGATTCTACTATTGGCAGCAGTAGACCAGTATTCTTGCATGTTGGGAAGTTGAATCAATCCCATATTCAGGATGACGGCGATAAATGCTAAAAATTCTTCTTTGGTAATATTGTACCACTTGTGCCAAGTTGACTTTCGGGAAAGCTGTTTCTTTCCAATTTATTCTTTGGCATAATTGTTTGTCTCTTTTATTATGCTGTCTACTAATTCTTCAGTAAAATATAATGTGAAATAGTCTATGGGCTCTTTTATGTTACTCGGGACTTGTGGTCCGGCTATTTCTTCGTGTAAATCAAAATTTATCGTGGCTGGTGGAACGTCCGATTCGGTAACATCTTCCCACTCTTCACTTGACAATACGTTGTCATGTTGCCGTGTGTTTTCTTCCGTACTACTATTATCGCTTTCGCTATCTATGCGAACAGTTCGTCGCTTCTAGGTTGAACGATATCACTATCACTGCTGTCGTTTTGTTCTACAGTTAGTCTTTCTAACGTGTCTGTATAGAGGTCTATCTGGAGCTCATCTTCACTACTACTTGTGTCATGAGACTCATTCGTGGTTGGACGCTTTGCCATTGTTCTAATAAAAAATATGAATAAATGCATGGGTTGAAAATTTCTAATTGTTATTACTAACTGACAAGATGATATTTACCAAAATAGCTTTCACCAAACAATTTATTCACTAAGAAAAGAATCACTTTTCCGATTTTCTCACTCGTTAGATCTAAGTGCACTGCTCGAAGCTTCAAACCAAAATGAGCTCAGCTTTGAAAATCTTTTCCTCCAGATGTAGACTTGTTTATTTGTAATTATATGTCTCACTATACAGTGCGCGCTATGTTCGAAAACCGACCTTTCTTCCACAAACGCCCCTTATCGCTCTTTTCAAGTGGCGTCGCGAAGTGCTCGGACCGTCGTGAGCACGCATCTCACGTTCTCGTCCGACACAAAACCCGCTGACATTTCTTGTATATATCTTAGTAATTTTACGATATTTTGATTTAATTTCTTGTGCCATTTCAAGATAAAACTTCAGGGAAACATACATGTCTCAAAAAGTTGCGTTGAAATAACTCAATTCCCCGTTATCACTAATTAACTGCAATGTCCCCTGAGAGGGGACATCCTAGTGATATGCTAGAATTCCGATGTCCCCTGAGAGAGGACAGCGGAGTGCAAAGGGTCATAATATTTGATTTAGCAGTTATACTCCTTGTGATTTTCCTGAAGGAGCTGAAAACGTAAAAACACACAAAAACCTATCCATAGGTATAAATAGCAGCTTTCAAAATTTACAGCAACAAAGATGTCCTCTAATAGGTGAATAGATAAATTGTAGCATATCTGGATAGGACAGTATTACTCTTATTAAAAAGAAATGAGTGAGACATGAACAGGCATTGAGGAACCTTAAGTAATGCACATTATTAAGTGAAAATCTATAATTCCAATTACATAACATTTTGGAAAAGGCAAAACTATAGAGACATTGGGTTAGTTGGGTTTGTTTTGTTGTTGTTAATGAGTTCTTATGTATTTTGGATATTAACCCCTTATCAGATACATAGTTTGCAAATATTTTGTTCCGTCCCATAGGTTGCCTTGTTATGTTGTTGATTGTTTTCTTGGCTGTGAGAATATTTTTAGTTTGAAGTACTCTTGTTTATTCTGGGTTTGTTGCCTGTGCTCTTGGTGTATATGCAAAAAATCATTGCTAAGACCTGTGTTTGTGGATTGGAAGAATTAATATCATTAAAATATCCTTACTACCCAAGGCAATTTATAGATTCAGTGCAATCTCTATCAAAATTTCAATATCATTTTTCATAGAAATAGAAAATACCATCTTAGAGTCTGTATGGCACTACAAAAGACGCTGAATAGTCAGAGCAAGAACAAAGCTGGGGACATAATAGTTCCTGATTTCAAACTATGTTACAATGCTAGAGTAATTAAAATACTATGCTATTGGCATGAAAACAAAACAAAACAGTCAATGGAACAGAGTAGAGAGCTCAGAAAGAAACCCAGGCATACATGATCAAGTACTCTCTGACCAGCGCACCTCAGGAAAAGGACAGTTTCTTCAGTAAATGGTGTGGGGAAAGCTGGATGTCTACATGCAAAAAATGAAATTGGACTTTTATCTTACACTGTACACAGAAATTAACCCAAAATGGACTAAAGACTTAAATGTAAGACCTGAAATCATAAAACTAGAACAAAACGTAGGGGAAAAGTTGAATTTTAATTAGTTTACATTTTAAGAACCCCCATGTGGCTGGTAGCCACTATATTAAAAATGAGTCTATAAAAAATGTAGTTGAATATTTACGTGAACATTCCACGAGGGAATACCTTGATTGTTCAGTGCCGACATGCTTTGTGTGTTTCTATCCTCCATACCGCCCGCTCAGTTGAAGAGGAGGCCTCACAGGTAGAGGAGGACACTTTTCCACATCAGTATCTGAGTGATGAATAGGCCTTAGAAAGCCTGTCCTGACTTAGGGTTATGCTGGACTGACAATCAATAGACCGGGGGTTAGTCCCAGTTCTGACACTGAGAGAATTGCAGCCCTCAGCAAATGATTTAATCTGTGTGGACTTTGGCTTCCTAGTGTATAATATCTGGGGCTTTGTCTAGGTGGTCTCAAAAGTTCCTTCTAGTCTTAAAATTCTGTGATTCTCTTTAAACATGTTTTTTGTTTGTCTGTTTTTTCTTAGTTTTTTATTTTTTTTAATTTTATTTATTAAATGTATTGGGATGACATTAGTCCACCCGACCGTATAGGTTAGAAAATGTGTTTTTCAAGTTCATTGCAGAAGGTGATGTTCCCAATAATGTTCCCCGCGCGTCTTGCCTGTTGTTGCATAGCTAAAGACGTTCAAGTGTTTAAATTTAAGCAAATCTTAATGTTCTGGGAGCAGGAATTGTAGCAGCTGACCTGTGTCTTGCGGCAAACACTCACTTTCAGATTCCCCAGGATATCCGCA